GATTGAGCAGTCAATACGATTACTAACGGATTATTTGGTTGCATGTAAACAGCCACTGTTTCTTCAGATCTCTTAGGCCCTGTTTACACGAGAACGCTCGCGGATGAAAACGTAAAAATATGTTATCGGATGTGCCTTTCGTTTACATGGCGACGGCGTTTTTGGGGCTTAAAAAAAACGTTTTTGCATACAACCTTCACTTTCTAGCAGATTTCGAAATCTTAAAAACGCTCCACCGTCGCGTTTCCGTCTAAAGGGTAAAAACGCAAAAGTCTGCTAGAAAGTGAAGGTTGTATGCAGACGCGCGGACTTGGTGTTGTTGTGTGGCAGTGCTTCACATTGCCACCTAGCCACCTGGAGTGCATACTACATCGAATTTCACACACTTTTGCGTCACCATATGCACGCGGATTTCCCAGCCATAACGCTCGTCTAAACGCAGAATAAAACGCCACTTTTGCGTTTTCTCTTTACATCGTTTCCGTGTAAACATAGCCTTATATGGTTTGGTCTCTGCAGCACACTCAATGATGAGCATCAGCTGTGGCCAATTAGCGACTGCTAAGCAAGCAGAGTGAGAGAGTGACAGAGAAAGGGGAAAAAACACATGGCTACATAAACAAACCTTAAACATTAATACCTTACGGCCTCAGGACGTAACACCAGACATCCTTTTTGTGTCAAAATATTTGTGATTAATTAGCTCTCTGATTTTCTCTCACATAATCTCACTCTCACTTGGGCATCACATGTATAGTAGTTTGGCGGCTTCAGTCACAAGCAGATCTTGCAATATTTCATGGAAAGGAGAGAGTCTGTAGCCTCGTGAGACCATCCTGATCTCGCGAGCTTTCAAGGTTTCACTCGCAGATCAGTCTGGATACTTTCCGTTAAAGAAAATTTGGGAGCAGTTCACCAAACGAACGTCCAATCAGCGTTGGCTTTGAGGCGGGTTGAGGTGTGACGCAACGAGAAGCGCGTCAGTTCAGTCTAAAGAACATGTCGGCTTCAGCGGATGAAACTAGCATCAGCGTGGCTATCGAGCAAGTTTTATCGGAATTACAGAGTATTTCTTCACTGAAAGAAGAGCAAAAAACTGCTCTGGAGGCTTTTCTCAGAGGAAAAGATACGCTCTGTTAGTACGTCATATATTGGTTGATTTGGCCCGTCTATCACCAACATAGGCCAATCAGCTAACCAGTATTTTCGCCCCTTACCAAAACTACTTCAACGGAAGGTTTCCAGATGGATATGCGGAGCAAATCCATCTGGCGGAGTCAGGTTAGAGAGTCTGAGTCACATCAGCTAATCACTGGGCTGCTTCAAGGTTCTGAGCTTGGTCCTCTTCACTTCTTCATTTACACATCCTCACTGGGCATGATCATAAAGCCACATGGCTTCTCCTGCAGCTATGCACATGATTCAAAGCTCTATTAGTCATTTAAACCTGATGATCTCACTGTCTCTGATCGTATTTCTGCCTGCTTTTCGGACTTCTCTGCTTGGATGAAGGACGTCATATCCAACTCAACCTTGTAAAGATGGAGCTCCTTGTAATCCCTGCAAAACTACCTCTACTAGTCAGTTGAACACATCACTGTTCAACTAGGGTCTACAGCACTAATGCAACCCAGGATAGCAAGTAACCTAAGCGCTGTGTTAGATGACCAACTGAACTCTCCACCTGCATTTTAACAACACCCCAGTGAAGTAGGTGTGCTTGAGTGGTAAGCCTTCCAGCAAGTGTGACTAAGCCTCTGCAGATGATCCAGAACACAGCAGCACATCTGGTCTTCAATCAGCCAAAGAGAACCCACATCCTGATCTCACCCCGCTGGCTCCCAGTTGCAGCCAGAATTACATTTAAGGTTTTGACACTGGCTTTCAGGACTGCACCTCAATTCATTCCTACAAGTATATAGTGAAGGGTTGGTCAAAATCCCTTGCCTCTTCAAATACATATATAATCATATATCATTTTGAATGGTTATATACTTCCTTTATAAAAATCAATAATCAAATATATTCATTATCACATAATAATTTTTATATTCTTGTGCTTGTGAAATTATATTTTCTTAAATGCATGGATGCAAGTAACCAGTTTCTTTTAGGTGCATTCCAATCTTACTTTGAGATTGCACGTAGTACACGCAGGACACGAAGGCCACGTAACCCACAAGGCCGTTTGTCTCTTTCTCTGGGATCAGTAGAAAGGTTAGAGGGTCCTAAAGGCAGCGTGGGCACATATGATTCTTCGCTGGACATATGGTCAAGCTATATTCAGCGTTACTATCAAACTTTAATTGTATTAAAATGTATTCTTTCCAGTATATTTCCTTCCTTGGGAGTAAATTGCCAGTGATCTGTTTTTCTCCCAAACAAGTGAATGTTTTAGCATTATGTTTTGGTATACTTAACTGATAATAAGGAGCTCAGACTCTCTTCAGCCTTGATGGGAGCTGTTATTTGCTAGTGTCTGTTATTTGTGTGTGTGTGTGTGTATGACATTCTATGTAGGTTCTGGACGGTCGAACCAGACACCCCGGCGCCCTTCTCTAACCCGCGAGGCCACCACAGACCTAAATCCAATGAGTGGACGACAACTATCTTTACTAATGGCGATAGGCACCCCTATCTCCTCACATGTGTTAAATTGTTTAGGCTTTCATGTTTCTTAGCCAATGAGAATCATTCAACCTGTAAGCAATGACGTAGCTTAGACCTTGGAAATGGTATAACTGCTGTGATCTTTGTAACTTTAAGCGGGGCGGCCTACGAACTCCTGTGTGAGTCTTGAAGCTGACTTCTGCTGATGAAAATGCAAACTATCTTCAGTAAAACTTTTCTTTAATTTTTTATAATTCTGACTCCGGGTCTTCATTCTTCATATCTGGTTCTGGGTCTTTGACTGTATACTCCTTACAATAGTACCAGCCAATAACCTTGTAGTGTTTATAGACGAGCCTGCATCTGTGTGGATAATAATACTACCTGTAAAGCTGCTTTAAAACTGTGTAAAGTGTGCTATACTATTTTTTTTTTACTGATTTGACATCAAACAACTAATTATTATTATTATATATTGTAATATTACTAATATATGAGCAATATAACACAAGAAGGTTGAGTGGCACAGGTAATCACAATCGTGCTGATATAGAGCCATATCATAGCACTTTAATATGTTGTTGTACTGTATACTCTCTTTATATACAGAATATACTCTCTGTATATTCTCTTTTCCAGCACTTTACACGCAGTTGCTCCATTGCGCTTAAAGAAGATTAAAGAAAATAGTCCAACACCGTGGTACAACGAGCACACCCAGGCCCTTAAGAGAGCAGCCAGAAAAATGGAGCGCAACTCGAAGAAAACTAAACTAGAGGTATTTCGGATTTCATGGAAAGAGAGCTTGATTGCTTACAGAGAGGCTTTAAAAGCTGCTAGATCTGGTTATTTTTTCAACCCTATTAGAAGAAAATAAACATAATCCTAGGTATTTATTTGAAACAGTAGCTAAACTAACGAAAAAGAAAGCTTCAACCCCAGAAGTGTCCAAGCAACACAGCAGTGATGACTTTATGAACTTCTTTACTTATAAGATTGATAATATCAGGGACAAAATTATAACTATGCAACCATCTACCACAGTATCGCATCAGGGAGAAATATTGCAGTATCGCGCTGCAGTTCATTCAATCAGTTGCAGTTCTGGCGCCTCCGTCTCAACATACTGTACAACTCGACGTACATTCACATCACATGCTAACGCAGAGGTATAGTTACACTCACGGGACACTGCAATTCACAAAAGTTAATTATTTACATGTACTTTACATGTAACATGCGCTTTTCTGAGCGCGTACACCCGAAGCACACAGGCACTAAACAGCTTAAAAACTGTTTGAAAATTCTTATTACCCTAATACTGTCAAATACTCACAAGATTTACATAAACACAGTTGGTTATGTCTAACGTGAAAGAAAACATTTGAGAGAAAATTGGGTGCGTGTGTGTCATATGCGTGTCGGTCTTAAAGTGACAGTGCCTAATCGTAACATGCTGCCGCTTGTCCATAGAGGGATAGTTCACCCCAATAATTTTAATTCTGTCATTATTTACTCACTCTAATGTTGTAACAAACCTGTATTCATTTCTTTCTTGTGCTGAACACAAAAGAAGATATTTGGAAGAATGTGGGTAACCAAACAGTTGATGGTCCCTGTTGACTTCCATAGTGGGAAATATACTATGCAAGTCACTGGGGTACATCAACTGTTTGGTTAGCCACATTCTTCAAAATAACTTTTATTTTTCAACATAAGAAAGAAACGTATTCTGGTTTAAAACAACTTGAGAGAGTAAATAATGATTTTTTTTTATTTGGGGTGGGGGACTATCCCTTTAATGTTAATAAAACAACACGACAAAGAGAAAATCACTCACTGCTCTTGACTGAGAACTTTAATACACTAGCTTTAATAAGAATCAATGTCTAATTGTTTTATTTTTATATTTGATCATTTAATTTCTGTCTTGAATGCTACCGATCAATACACCTACTGTAGCTGAAAAAAATAAAGCCTGTTTATCTAGGGTTTATGTTGCGTATATGTAATAATATGTATCTTTGTTTTTATTTTTTAATAACAAAGAAAATAAAGGTTTTTATCTTTGGCACTTTGGCTTAAATGTCTGCCATTATTTTTTTATTTTGTTTAAGGCTTTGTTTTTAAAATAGGGACATTAGTTTGGCTGTAATGCTCAGTCACTTGCAAAATAGTAAAACCAACATGAAAAAGAATTGTGATCAAATCTGAATTGTGATTTTCATGAAAAAAATCGTGATATATTTTTGCCATATCGCCCACCCCTAGTTCCATGTCAAATAAAACCACTTTAATTAAGACACTCATATTACATCCTTAAAAAAAATATATGAATTTCTGTAGAGCTGGACATTTTAATAAGGATAAGCTTTGAGAATGAAACCAACCTGTTTGTTCCTCAGTATCTTCTTGTTTCACTCTGAATGTTTCTTCAATCTTCATGTCTTCACTCTCGTCTTTAATGAATGCCATCTTTATAATAATTGTGTCACGTGGATCTCAGTCGCTTTGCTTGGACACTGTTATGATTAAGATTAGAATAATTAACAGAAAGAAAAATACATCTCAGTGTGTGTCTCAATCAGCTCTAGTTCAGTAGTTCAGTTCACTGGTAAGAGTCAGTAAGAGTACGAGTTCATGATTAGCTAAACAACAACAACAATAACAACAACAACAACAAGCACAACAAATAAAATAACAAATATTACAAACACGTTAAATTTGTTTTAATATTTTTGAATGATCTGTAGATTATATTTAATAGATTCAACAACATTTGCAGTTGGCTTGTTAAAGTTGTCATTACACGTTTGTTTTACATTTACACTCTTTTTACAAGCATCGTCAGCGCGTGGCAATTCGAATCAGTTTCTCCCATCAATAATAATAATTCGTTGCTGCCAAGTATTGATGGAAGAAATGAAACGCACCTTTTCTGTTACAAATGTATGGATGCACCTTACTCACAAAACGTTCATTAATGTTATTTATTACATTATTACAATGCTACACTCAGTAATAATACATTTCACAGCTCTCTATAAAACCGTCTGTACGGTTTATATTGATTTTAAACACTGTAAATGGTTAAAAACACAAACCTTTCTTCAGCCGAATCACAGACGCAACCTTATGACATCACATCTCCAGACCAAAATAAAAGTCCTTTTCACACGCTAAAAAATAATGCAATTATAATAAACAAATGCAATTTGTGATATTCTCAATCACAGATAAATTCAAGTATGTTGTTCATCATTTAACAAAGGTTGAGAAAGAACTTTTAAGTATTTTAAACTCATAAAAAATGTATTGATCAAAATTAAATATGTGGTTTCAAGGAAATCTAATTATTTAATTTATTAACTAAAACCGTATCACAATATATCCATATTATTCCTCTTAGTTTCTCCACAGAATATAAGGGCAATAAATATAATCGAATTTCAACTTTATTTGATTAAAGTGCATTGCATTACAGTTTTTTTCGATTGCTAAATGACAGTGAGCACAACTGGAGCTACATGTGCAAAACTCTAAGTACAATCTGCAAAGCAGCAGTTCATGTGGACCAAACTCTAGTTCGTTTTTCATTGCTTGAACAGTTTTCAAAACTCTACACATTTATCCCATGACTTTAACCACAACCTGCACAACACTGTGGATTTACAGCACTTTGTTCAAATGCTAACACACTGCTGTCAAAACTGTGAACCACACATTCAAAACAGAATAGATTTCAGCCTTGTGCCTTTCACACACTGCTGACTGCACTCTCAGCTGAACGGCTGAAACCTGTGGCCTGATGCAGGATTAGCCCCTCAATTATTTGTTCGAATTACAGTATGTACTCTTAGTTTCTACCTTTTTTCCCTCATTACTGTAATTCCGTAAATTACTACAGACTTTTGAAGCAAACTGCTAATTTTCATTCACCTTAAAGAATTGTAAATTGTTGTTTTGCACATGTAGCTCCAGTTGTGCTCACTGTCGTTTAGCAATGGAAAAAAACTGTAAAATAACCATACTGAAAAGTAACAAATCTGTCTTCTATAAGGATTGGATTGAAATTAACATATGGTCTGTCTTTGATCTTATTGATAATGTTCTTTTATATATATATATTTTTTTTTTGCAGTTTAAAGGAATAATGTTCACTGATTAAAGCCTGTTCAGTTTCTTCAATTTTCAGAAAATATGATATTGCATATTCAGTTGTTACTCCTCATCTACCCTTATTAAAAGTGAATGGTGTTCAGTTTGTAGATACAATAACCAGTTTATTAGAAACAATAATAAAATACTTACAATATCCAGTTACAGCTGTAGGAAACTCAGAAGTGAAGGTCAGAGACTCAGTGAATCTTCAGCAGGATTCTTTATTGAGATAGTACTGTCGCGCTGCAGTCATCAAGTCTGACTAAAGCAGTGAATCTTGGGAGTTGTATAATGAATTAATTAATAAGCGCTTTACATATAGAAGTAGGGAATCTCCTCAACCACCACAAATGTGCAGCACCACCTGGATGATGCGACGGCAGCCATATTGCCCACCACACACACCAGCTTACTGGTGGAGAGGAGACAGAGTGATGAAGCCAATTAGTATATGGCCGTTTCTTCAACTAGGGGCACTTTTAGTCTTGTAAAGTTGAATAAAAAAACTTGTTCAAATGTCACGTAACACAGTCTCATAAGTTTAAATAATTTGTCTAGTTTTAAGGTCTGTAAGAGAACAAACTTAAATTACCATAGAAATTGGTAATATTTTACATTTTTTTCGACCTACTGTGAACAAATGTAATTTCCACCACATCTCAATATACAGCTGTTATTTAAAAATAGAATAACTTCTGCCACTCAAGAATTGTCTAAGATCATTTTTCTAACTAGTTTTATCAGTTTTTCCACAATGTACATTTATACATTTTTCATTGAGATAAATTAACTGCCCTAAGGACCAAATGCTGAACTGTACATCGTCACACTCTGAAATTTAATATTGTTCGGGGTAAGAGGTTATTAGAAAATAAATAACTTGAATTTTTATATTAAGTAGTTTTTATATTAAGTTTTTAAATATTTTTTTTAAATGTGTGTAGTGATGGAAATGACACTGTGGTGGTGGAAATGACAATGAATTAACGTGAATGTAGAGAAACAGTAGAGATATTTATTAGAAAAATGCATCACACTCATTAAACTCAATTCACAAAGTCATTACGTAAACATAACCACACCTGTTTTTAGTGTAGTGCTGAATTTGATGTATAAAACTGATTTGTCTCACAGATGAACAGTTACAGTGCATACTGTAAATAACTTACACAACTGATGGCAAGGCAAAAATATATATAAAAAAAGATGATGCAACAAAATGTCAACATTGTGAAATAATTATGAAGCTATATAATTGTGAGAGTTTGGTAGTGAAATGTTCTCACTGGTCTCTTAAATGAACACTCATCTTCTGTAAACAGTAACTGTAAAGAACACCTGAAACTGTATCATTTAAACAGAGATGTGGAATATGGAAAAAGTTTGAGCACCTTGAATGTGTGAATGAATGTATGTCTGCATGTGTGAGAGAGAGAGTATATGTGTGTGTGTGTGTGTGTGTGTGTGTGTGTGTGTGTGTGTGTGTGTGTGTGTGTGTGTGTGTGTGTGTGTGTGTGTGTGTGTGTGTGTGTGTGTGTGTGTGATGTGTTTCAAGGCCAAATCTAATTAAGTGTTTCAAAGATTTCTTTCCAAACAGACACAATCATTTCCTTGTAACGTTTGGTCACTGGTACAGGCTCAGGGATAAGGCCTATAATATTCTTGGTTTGGTCCAGATTTTGTCATCCCTTAGAGGCCAAAAAAAAAACCCGATTGAGTCCAGCATGGCCCATGGTTTTAACCAGAGCTCCACTGTAGACATCAGTATCCTGTATGATGCCAGGATAAACATCTCCATCGTACTTCACACCACTGACCAATGAGTCCCTCATTCAAGTCCACAATGTGCTGCAGACCTATTTGAGGTGTGTCAGGATGCAATGTACTTGTTGAGGGGGAAGCTTCATCCCAATGCTGGAACATGACTGTTACTGGATTGAAACTTTTGCAGACATGAGGTGCAGAGCAAAAGCAACTGAGGATTCTCCATGACATTTGGCTTGGGCTAGCAGAGATTATCTGAAAGGAGAAAAAAACAGGTACGGCATGAACTTAGTAAGAACAATTATTTGTTTGGAGACGACTGTCAACCATTACCTGATGGATCTTCATTGTGCCACGGATTGTTTGTAGCTCGGACGGCACATGAATGTCCATAGACTCAATGTCTTCTGGCTCAACATAGAAGAGCTCTGTGGCAGACTTTTGCTGCTGAAGCTCCTCAAAGAGCACCCGAGCATTTGGTAGGTCCTTCCCTCTAGCTATGATGTCATCAGCTCTTCTTTGCACTGCTGCTCCAATCCCATCAGCAGGGCCTTTTCCATGGCCAGAGTTCCAAGTCAGTTTCTTCCAGCCTATCTGATATGGAATGTTCGTGAAGAAGTAGAAATTCTTTTTTGAGCGGTATTGGGTGATCGGCCCATCACTGACCACATGCAGCACTGAAGCAGTGGGGTACTGATCCTTCAGGAAAGTGAGGACTTTTGTTAGATGTGCCCAAATAGCACAGGGGTCATGACGAAAAGAGGAGCTGATTGAGCAGACTGAGATGACACTGTTTTTGGTGTTCTTTAGCTTCACAATCGGTACATTCCCTGTACATACATTGCTTGGTATATTTTGGCGAACAACACAGGGATACATTCAAATCTTCAATGTAACTGCTTTTAATGACTTTATGATAAAGCAGCTTGTCTGCCATATTCTGCAGATTGGCATGGGTCTTGCAGAGGCATGTGTCTCTATCCTTAATGACATTTCTGTAGTTTTTTTGTGAAAAAGAAAATGGAAGATAGCTTCACTGATTAGCTTTTAATCAATACTTAGCATTTCATGTATGCAAAATACTCTTATTTAACTTAACATTTTTAACTTTTTAAAAACACCTTTGAAGGTACAGCATGTTTGGAAATGACAGAATAAATATATTAAGTGCTCAAGCAATATTTACCTTGATTTTTCTTCTTTTGTTCTTGATGAAAATTTAAATTGCCTCCATGTCCAACATGTGCTCTGATGTCACTGAACATTTCCATAGAAACCACCTAAACAATCTTTCACAAAAACTTTTTAAAGGGAGATTACAGTGTTGTGGTAATGACACGAATACTGTGTGACAGCTATATTTTGTATAAAAAGTAATATTCATAGGGGTCTCACATTAAATACTATAATGTATTTGAATTATTTTACTAGTGCTTAATTTAGGTATATTAATAGTTACCAGATAAGTCATATTTTTAAACTGTATTTTCATTGGTGAAGTTGAAAAGTCTGGGTGTGCGACAAGGAGAAAACAGTGATTTTGACCCCTATAAGGAGGTTGAAAAGTATGAAAAAAAAAACTAATAGAAAGGTAGTAAGAAGTTTTTTAGGTGGTTTTATTGTTAGTTTGACAAAGAAAGAGGAATTTGTCCTTTTTAAAAATATGACCAAAGTACATAAAACTGCCCATAGTCTAAGAATCACCCATATGGGGATGATTAGGAGGCCATGAGGGCACTGGGCAAATTTGGCCAGGATGCCGGGGTTACCTGGGATTTTTTATGACCACAGAGAGTCAGGACAAAAGCACTAGATCACGACCTTAAAAAGAGTATGCAAAGGATGTAAGCAGTTATAATAAGTTTCATCAGCTCTAATCCAATCAGCATAACTATAGCACTCATTATCATAGAGATCAGGGAAAGTCACACCTTCAGGTTTTACGTTCACACTTAAAACAGGCGTTGATGATCATGAACGATGAGCACTGAATTAAAGGAATGTGGCAGAAGAGGAAGAACATCACAGACAAAAGATGACAGCCTCAGTTATCATGATTTTACATTTGTGTTCACACACCCCTAAAGAGAACAGAATGTGTGGATTGACCAGTGAGATTCTTGCTATGAGAGTTTTCATTCGCTGGACGACAGTCGATGCAGACTCTAAACTTGCGATGTCATTTGTTCCTATGTGGAGAATCACTATTGTGTAGTTTCTCAAAGTGTTTGTGTTGTTGAACGGATCTCACAAGAGTTGTGTCTGGATGAACCCAGCATTGAGCATTTGGAAAGTAGTCCTCAATATCCAGACAAATTGGGCCCTATTTTAACGATCTAAGCGCATGGTCTTAGACCGTGTCCGAATCCACTTTTGCTAGTTTAACGATGGGAAAAATGGTTGGCGCATGGCATGGTATAAAAGGGTTGTCCCTATTCTCTTAATGAGTAATGGCTGTGTTTTGGGCGTAACCTACATAACCAGAATCTCCCATTCCCTTTAAAAGCCAGTTGTGTTCGTGCCATGGCGGATTTGCTATTTACATGGCAGAATTTCCAAGCAGAAAAACTGAATGCTTCTCCAGAGCGCAATCCTCGTGTGCGAGGTTAAAGCAGACCATCTACAGAACAAGCCGGATTCCACCATATCTTTATGTACACAATAATAATCTTTTACATTGTAATCCTTTTATTTGTAATATTTGGCATGTTTGTGTGTTGCTGCCTGTGTGTGTAATAAGCAGAGTGTACACACGTTGTGGACCCGCCTATAGGCACATATTACTAATGCGCTCTTTAAATAACAAAAAAAAAAATACTGCCAATGGTGCAGTCTTTTTGTCTCAAAATAGCAACGCGCCATCAATGTGCCTGAACACACCTCGTTTTCATGACCAGGAAATGACAAAAGTCCACACAAGACAAGGGGAACATAAGTCAGGTGGTGGAGCGGAGGCGAACCCGGGGGCGGGATGGAGGTATAGGCCTGTGCAGGGGAACGGGACCAGGACATTGCCATGGCGGGCCTGGGCCGTGGAGCGTGGGCGGACCAGGGCGCAGCAGGCTGTGCATGCGACCAGGGCGGAGCAGGCTGTGCATGCAACCAGGGCGGAGCAGGCTGTGCATGCGACCAAGGCGGAGCAGACAGTGGAGGCGACCAGGGTGGAGCAGACAGTGGAGGCGACCAGGGCGGATCAGGCAGTGCAGGAGACCAGGGCGGCCTGGGAGGAGACCCTTCAGGCGGCCAGGGAGGACCAGACAGTTCGGGAGGCAGCTTGGCCTCCATGGTCCTGTCAAGGGATTTAAGTGTTAAGGGTTAAATTTCTTGGGGGGCGGCTATAGGGTTATGGGCAGGAACAGACACTGGCTCGGGAACAGACACCAGCTCGGGAACAGGAACAGACAGCGTGGCGGTGGCCATCTTGTCCGGAGACGCTGGCTCGGCGGCGGCCATCTTGTCCGGAGACACTGGCTCGGCAGACGTGACGTGAACAATCTCTGGATCGGCAGACGTGACGTGAACAGTCTCTGGAATCAGATTTTCTCAACAACAAAAAAAGAATATCAAAAATGTCAAATTTTTGTCACACGATAATTCAGCGGTACAAGAAACCACCGGTATATCTCCAGCTGAGCTTCACCTAGGGAGAAAATTACACACCAAAGTCTCTCACACCAAAGGCATGTGTCTTATCCACTGCGCCATCACCACCCAAATTACAGGGTCCAATGGACAAGCTGCTGCGTGGGCAAAATCTTGCTCCAACCGGTCCATCTTACAATGTCACAGAACATCTGTCCGAGTTGCAAGCTAGAGCCAAAGAAAACACCAAAAAAGCATCAGTAAGACAGCTCCGTAGCTACAAGACCCGAAGAGATGTCTTCTACAAAGAAAAAGACCGTGTATGGGTGAGAAATTTCCCACAATCAAGTGCACTTCACCATTTTAGTTCAAAACTTGCCAACAAATGGAAAGGTCCCTACAGAAAAATAAAACAGCTGGGACCACTGAATTATCGTGTGGCACTAGAAGACACTGGTCAGGATGTGCGTACCATTCATGTCTGTTTTTTCTGGAATATTTACAGAGGTTGTGTGAGAAAAACACAGATTTGGCAGATTCAGACTGGTGTAGGGTTTACTTATAATGTTGGTTAATTTTTTTTTTGCTAACATGGTTATTTTCCACCCTATATTTTATACTAAAGTGACATTCTATGTCAAAGAGCAATTGACATTTTATTTTTATTATGCCATGACAGTGCAAGCAGGGCTGCCTGATCAGGATGTGCTTAAAGTTTCAGAGGTTTAATAAGACTCCTCAACAGACATTGCAATGCCACAGTGGCAACGGCAAAGTCCCACTGGTTGAGTCTTCTCTTGGAAAAGTCGAAAAGTCCTTGCACACTCAGTCCGAAATTCTCCCATAACGTTCGCACGTTAAAAAATAAATACGACCTCGCGTTGTGTTAATCACGTTTACTGCCTCCGAAACTTTCGCCCGTCATAAATTCAGATCGGGTTCAATTTTCTGCATTTTGAGAGGTGTTTTGACAAAATCGAACGCCAATATCCTGTTGAGGATCGATTGGTTCACGGAAATTGGTGGTCTTCTTTTTAATATGTGGCTCCAGTATCGCTAGCAAAGCATCAAACTGAGCAACTGACATCCTAAAGTAAACTTCGCTCAGGATAATCCTGATAAGGAGGTGGAACTCTACGCAATCTCAGGATTGGATGGACCCAATATTTTCTCTTTCTTTTTCTCTTTTTAAGAAGGAAGAGGACAACAAAATCATCCTCACTGCTTGAAAACTCTATTTTGTATTGACTCGATTTTTTTCGCAACGGATTAATTAATACGCATCAGACTCAGTGTGCAAGGTTTCTGTGCGTGACATTTTAAGGATGACAAATACAATGTCACATGGACTACTTTTATGATGTCTTTATTTCCTTATTTCCTGGACAAGAACAGTATACCGTACATACATTTTCAATGGAGGGACAGAAAGCTCTCGGACTAAATTTAAAATATCTTAAACTGTGTTCCAAAGATGAACGGAGGTCTTACATGTTTGGAACGACATGAGGGTGAGTCATTAATGACATAATTTTCATTTTTGGGTGAACTAATCCTTTAAGAAGGCAATCCTATCTCCTTCCAGAATCGACTGCCAGTGAGCCGGACAGTAATTTTCCACACAGATGCTCCTCCTCCATCACTTCTACCCTTAGATAGGTACAGGCTTGAGCCTACCAGCTGCCAGTTTGTATGAAGTCACCAACAGAAATTACATCTTCAATCACTGGAGACTACATTGGACATGGCCAGAAGAATAAGAATCACTGGACCCTGTAGCCATTCTGGAGTATTGCAGAACAATAGAGACTAACTTCTTGCCTTGTGGGCTTGTCATCCACCTTGATGCCCCCTGGTCAGGGTCGTCACCTAATGATGTTGTGTTTGACCAAACTGAAAGACCACCCTGTGCAATAAAATGGCCTGCCTGAAATAAAATGCCCGAATGCAAAAAGCTATGTTGATTGTAGCTATCTAAAATTGCACAGTGGCACCATGGAACTAAAATCACAGCACAGTTACTACTGGCAGGTCTAAGACTAGCTCTTGATTACAGCAATGGAGTGGGGTGATTTTGTTGTTTCTGCAGAAGACAACATGGTAATTCAGTGAATATACAGAGACAATGGAGTAGCCAGAATAATTAGAGAGAAAGGAGATTACTTCTGTTTCTATTTTTACATGTAAGCAGACTAGAGGCGTTACAGTCTCTAGTTTTACAATAAAGTTTTAATTGTTAACTCTACATGTAAATACCTTGGAGTGATTGTCATAAAAAAAATGCAACATTTGTAAAATAAACCTTGATACAAAGTTTTTACAGGAGTTACAAGCTTATTTAAGGGAGAAGGCATTTTTACATATACAGAAACTACTACACAGGTTGAGTAAAAGGTAAACTGTCGCTTTAAATTCAGGGGTGTTCATACCTGCTACTGGAGAGCTACTGTCCCACAGTTTAGCTCTAACCTCAAACAAACAACAAACCTCAACCAGCAAACCACCAAATTTAGGTGTTTAGGGTTTCTTTAAAAACAGGCAAGTGTGCTTGATTGGGGTTGGAACTGTAGTCTGCATGACAGTCACACTCCAGGAGCAGGGCTGAACACCCCTGGTTTAATTTAAAGGACAAGTTTGCTGATTTTCAACCAGCTTTGCATTGTTAGAATGTTGACAGTATACGCAAATGAACAATGTTTAATCTTTCTCCATTTCAGCTGTACTGAGATATGCCTGTTTATTTGTCAGCAAAACCCTGCCGGATGACACAATGCAGAGTTTTGCAGACAGATAAAGACTTTGGTTTCACTCATCTTGAAGTCAGATGGGGATGTTGCAGGTACGGGGCATCTTGGTCGATGGTCTCAAACATTTGCTCTCTGTGTGGGTAGTGTATAGTGATTCCACGCAAAAAGAGAAGGGATAGTTCCCTTTTTAAGTTTTCTTAGTGTCCTAATAGTCAAAACAAAATCATCTCGTTTGAAATGTACACTACACACTCTAGTGTTTTTTGTAGGAGTGAAGTTGTCCCTGCGAATCCTGGCTAACCACTGAGCCCGAACTTCTGGGTCAATCGGGAACGCATGAAAGCTTATCACGGAGTTATAACGAGATGAATTAGCACATTGGGGTACACAGCAATGTAGCGATGATCTTCTCTCCTGTCGCTGATAGATTAGTTTGTTCTTTTTTACTTTAAACTCGCTCATATTCGCTTTCTTCTCCTCTTCCCTCACAGTGTTATTACGATCAGAAGTAAGCATGCACACACTTGCTTCCGGGAAGTTTATGCACGCCATCTTGTGCACCGAGCCATTAAACGCCATCTTTGTTTGTTCCTCTGTATCTTCTTGTTTCACTCTGAATGTTTCTTCAATCCTCAGGTCTTCACTCTCCTCTTTAATAAGCACCATCTTTGTTTGTTCCTCTGTATCTTCTTGTTTCACTCTGAATGTTTCTTCAATCCTCATGTCTTCACTCTCCTCTTTAATAAGCGCCATCTTTGTTTGTTCCTCTGTATCTTCTTGTTTCACTCTGAATGTTTCTTCTATCCTCATGTCTTCACTTTCCTCTTTAATAAGGGCCATCTTTGTTTGTTCCTCTGTATTTTCTTGTTTCACTCTGAATGTTTCTTTAATCTTCATTTCTTCACTCTCCTCTTTAATAAATGCCATATTTATAATAATGTGTCACGTGGATCTCAGTCGCTTCACCAGGAGTTTTTCCTGTGTGTTTGGACAATAAGATGAGAATAATTAACAGAAAGAAAAATAGATCCACACTAAATATCTGTGCGTCTCAATCAGCTCTAGTTCAGTAGTTCAGTGCACTGGTAAGAGTCAGTAAGAGTGAGAGTTTTAAGTGGCCTTAAACCTGATTAGCTATAAAGAAATTGCATATTATTAAAAGAAAGCAAATTGTAAAGACATTTCATATTTAGTTACTTATAATTTATTTTTAAAGGATTTGATTCATTTAACTTGATTAAGTTTCTCTCATCACTACTTCCCAGTGACCAAATGTGATCAATTTCATGATAAACTGATTCACGATCTAGGGAGCGAAATAAGACTAACAAAAGGCTATTACTGTGTATGGATGCGCTTTACTGACAAACACTGACGATCATTAATGTTATTATGTACAGCATTACAGCGTTACATTCAATAATAATTCAATAATTTCACAATTCTCTATAAATTGTCTGAACAGTCAAAGTATTGTCCCAAATATAAGATGATGGGTTTTTTTTTCTTGGAAATACATCTTAAAATAAGGGGTCGTCTTATATTCGGGGTTTAAACTTTTACATGTCAATAATACACCTGAAACAATAGGGAGCGCCTAATACGTGTAAAACGAGTGTTTCTGCCCAGAACTGATAAATGCAATGGAGTCATCAAACAACTCATTAAGCAGCTATTAATTACAATGTGTCAGAGTGTAATATTAGAAGATGGCGTGCCCAAAAAGACAGTCTTAAAAAGTCAAAAGACAGTCAAAGAAAAGCTTACCGCGGTCCTAAAAGCGGCCGCTTCGAAGAAACTGACAGGCAAGTGTGTCAGTACGTAGCCGGAAAAAAAGAAATGAGGGAAAATGAGAGAAATGAGCTGAAGCCACTGGATATCGCCAAAGAGCTGAACATGCCTGTCAATATCTTAGAAGCGGCCGCTTTGATGCGGTGTAAGAATTAGCGCTTGCCCTACGACTTCAGGGAGAAACTGCTGTCAATTCAGCGCTATGTGATCGAAGGAAAAAACATTCATATCCCTTGGATCAGATTAGTAATGCGGATCAAACACTTGTGTTTTTTGACATGCCTACTATACTTGATAGAGGTGAGAAAACAGTCATAGTGAAATCTACTAAATGAGAACTTTGGGTTATTTTTATGGTAGCTATGCCATTAAGTTTTCATTTCTGAATGTGATTGTTGTTGATACATTTTACCAGTATTCGCCATACTTTAAATACAAACATTTGAAATTTAAGTATGAAAATATGCAAAATATGAAATGAAAATGATTTTCAAATAAAGTATTTTCTTTAAAAGAATAGATTTGGTCTTCAAAAAGCCTTTTCCAAAAGGTACATATTGAAAAGGGGGCGTCATCTTTTATTCTTATATTCAGGGTCGTCTTATATTCGGAACAATACGGTTATATGGATTTATGCTACCTTCACTTTTGAAGTTGTGATTACGAGCTCATTGCATTCAAATTTTGTCTTGAGAGGGCGTTCATGTCCAATTTTTTGATAATTTCGATAGCACATGAAGGCAGCATTAGACACTTTAAATACAAACCTTTCCTTTGCCGAAATGAATCACAGGAGCGTGGCGCAGCCTTATGATGTCATATCATCAGACCAAAATAAAAGTCATTTCCACACACTAAAATCATAGAAATTTACAGATAGAAACCACATAGAAATAATATAGAAAACACTTAAAAATAATATTAAAAAACATCCAACCCCTTTCACAGATCCCAAAAGAAATCAATAACACTGAGCTTTTTCAAAAGATTCTGGCTTAATTACCTGCTCTTAATTAACAATACCACCAACTACAGAGCATTTGTAATATTCTCTGTCAAGGATCATGTTCTTCATATTACAAAAGATTAGAAAGATCTTTTGAATAATTTGTAGATCAAAATTACATTTGAGGGATTAAAACAATTAATGTTGTCTGTCTGAAATGAACACGTAAATTAAAATGGTTAAATTAATAATTTCTTGTAAATGGTCATGAAATCTGGTTTAACTTTCCTCAGATTATCTTTATTAAACTTAGCAGTCTGGAATTTGTGTTGAAATGTGACAAACTAAAAAGTAACAAATCTGTCTTCTATAAGGATTGGATGGAAATGAACATATGGTCTGTCTTTGATCTTATTGGTAACATTATTTTATACAAGCTATTTTTTTAACATATTTTTTGCAGTATAAAGGAATAATGTTCACTGATTAAAACCTGTTCAGTTTCATCAGTTTTTTTTTTTTTTTTTTTTTTTTTTTTAAATATGATATTGCATATTTAGTTGTTACTCCTCGTCTATCATTATTAAGAGTGAATGGTGTTCAGTTTCCAGAAGATTCAATAACCAGTTTACTAGAAACAATAATAACATACCTACACAATTCAGGAAACTCAGAAGTGAAGGTCAGAGACTCAGTGAATCTTCAGCAGGATTCTTTATTGAGATAGTACAGTCGCGCTGCAGGCATCAAGTCTGACTAAAGCAGTGAAACTTGGGAGTTTTATAGACATTTTAGGAGGCCGTCCTCACTGTAAGGATATAATAAGTTTCATCAGCTCTAATCCAATCAGCATAACTATAGCACTCATTATCATAGAGATCAGGGAAAGCCACACCTTCAGGTTTTGCGTTCACACTTAAATCAGGTGTTGATGATCATGAACGATGAGCGTTGAATTAAAGGAATGTGGCAGAAGAGCAAGAGCATCACAGACAAAAGGTGAAAAGTCTCACTTTTCATTTGAGTTCACACACACCTACAGCAAAACAGATTCATTTAAATATTTTAAATGACATTTCTCTTGTGCTGACTTTCTAAGGCTGTGACTAAATTTGAACCAAAATAATTGTGCAGTAATGGTATTGAAACAACAGATTATGTTTTCTTTTCACGTCCAATCATAAATAGAGTTGTCAAGAATGTTTTTAAGTGGATTAATAAATTAATATTGATGTGCCTTTGTTAGAAAGTAAACATACTATTTGGAGAACACAAATAGTGATTATACAGTAAACTATATATACATTGAATGTACATTAAACCAAACTTATCAAGACCCAACCTCTTTTCAAACATTTAAGTCACCTCAAGATAAATCTCAGTTCATTGTATGCTGTAAAATAATTACCACGAAGTAAAATGTGATTTTTATCAAAAAAACTGAAGGCTTCCCTTGTGAAAAAGAAGTGTGCTTAATTGTATTGAAAGCATACTTTTTGTGTGCTTCAAATCATAAAAATATACTTTTTGAAAAGTGCACTTGCAGATAATATAATTAAAATGAAAGGGCACTTAAGTGTACTTAAAGGGAATACACTTTAATGACAATATTTCTTAACAAACTTTTTACAAATGCACTTTGTAATAATATCTAATTAAGCTTAACTTAAAGTAAGTACATTTTAATGACAATATTTCTAAACACTTACATGCACTTTTTAAAAATGCATTTTGTAATAATGTCTAATTAAGTTTCACTTAAAGAAAGTACACTTTCATGACAATATTTCTAAACACACTTAAGTGCACTTTTTAAAAATTCACTTTGTAATAATGTCTAATTAAGTTTTACTTAAAGGTCCTTCCCGAAGTCGTCTTGTGCTCTCAGCCCAGCGCCGTGCAGCTCGATTGCCGGGGAACGTTATGCTGTGTGCAACATCATGCAGCATGACAGGTTTGACAGTGGGTCAGTGACGGTCTGGGGAGGAATATCCTTGGAGGGTTGCATAGACCTCCACCTACTAGCAATAATATGCTGTTTGGGTCCCGGGATCCAATTGAAAACCTTTGGGATGTTATGTATCGGAGTAAGTAGAACCACAGATGATGATGATGATTTTGGTTTCCATTGACTATTGTCACATCATTTTGTTCTCAACGAATTACACATGTATAAACTGTAAGTAAAGATTTTCAACTTGAATAGTCTGTTCATTGAGATCCAATGTGTGATTTAAGTGTTTCAATCTTTTTTTTTTTTGAGCTGTGTATGTTTCAGTACAGACGTGTGATGTATGGATTCCGCCTTATTAATGCACACACTGTTTTTAGCCTTTTTTAAAAAAACATATTTGTCACTATTTGCATTGTAATACAAGGATATCTTGTTTTCCCCCTAAGCAGGGTAAAAAATTTATTTAAATAAGTATTTCACAAAGAAAATGAATTTAACATTTAATTTAATATTCAACAATAATATTGATCTGCCTGCATTGACACCATTACCGGTATATGAGAACTGAACTGAGCTGGACGATGGCATCATGGTTTTCTCTAGAACGGCTATATAATGAACTAAAATAATAAAGTTTTTACAACAAAAATGAAACATCATTGAACTTACTTAAGCTGGACTGTGACACTATTTTCTTCTGGAAACAAACTTTGTTGCCTTATTTTTATTGTAAAAAGCGCTAAATAAATGTGACTTTACTTGACTTGACAAAGAATTTGTGACAAAAACTAAACAAAGAACTCTGAAATCCTCTAACTTCTCATTTACACACACACACACACACACACACACACACACACACACACACACACACACACACACACACATATTCTATGCACTTTTGTCATTTTAGCATGTGAACACGACTTTTATTTTGGTCTGGAGATGTGACGTCATAGGCCTGGGCCTATGATCATGCATCTGTTGTGATTCGGCTGAAGTTGTGTTTTCAAACATTTTAGATAGTTTTGTCGATATAACACGTTCAATGTCATAGTTCTTACAAGCGAGGTAAAGTTAGTCGTTTATTATTGAAAGTAATGTTGTAATGCTTCTTCTAACATTAATGAATATTATTTATTGTCAGTAAAGGCATCCACGAGTAACAGAAAAGGTGCGTCTCATTTCTCTCCCTATATATCGCGAATCAGTTTGTGGTGGGAGAAACGGAGCTTTAAAACTCCGAGTCAACTGAACTAATAGATTTGAAAAATGATTTACTGATTCGAATC